ATAAGCACTATGAAGCTAAGGAAAATTCTATATTTATATGGCAAGAAACCATGTGATTTGTGAAATCATATTTTGATCATCTGATTTCCATCATGGACAACATCTTTTTTAGGAAATTATTTCTATCTCTTGAATAAAAAACATTTATATCATTATCAGAAAGATCCATTTGATCCATTTTTTACAAGTTAGCATATACCTTCACAGAGATATGAAATGAAATGTTCTAATTATTTCTGAAGAGAACTCAAAAGTACTTATCCATAAAAAAAAAAAATCTTAGTCTCAGCAAGACAATACCCATTATGAAACAACTGAAAGAATACCCAAGTAATCTTATGTGCCTGTTTCCATGATTTCAATAGTTTTTCTTAAGAGTCATTTGATTCTTGGGCTGCCTCCCGGACTCTGGTAAAAAAGATGGGTACACCTCCTCCAAATCCACTTCTAACTGAACTGAAACTATACTTACCCTGACTACTACCTTTCTCTCCCAACAAGTGAACCTCAAGTGTAATCTCCAACTAGAGGAATTGACTTTCTAGGTGTGTCCAGGTATGAGGAATTTTTTTGAGCACAAGACTCAGCACTAACGTGGGAAATTCCTGGCAAACCAAGACAGGTTGATTATCCTAATACAAGCATATTCCTTAATTTTACAAAGAACCATCTCAAAGTACAGTGTGACATAACCCAAAGTTTTACTAAAGTCTTTGGAATATGACAAAATAGAATTATCATATAGAAGAAAGAAAAATTCAAACCCTGAATACCACATCAGAGTTAGCGCTTCCATATATGAGTGTCCTTAAGCATAGTTGTCTAGCCCCAAATTCAAAACAAGGACTTGCCTCAAGGACTTCATAAAGGGAAAAATGGGAAGTTCTTTCAAATTCTAAAAGGAAACAAAGTTTAGAGATGTGACTCCATTTCTGAGTAGGAAAGAAATGTTTATTTCTGATGCAGAATAATTTCAATTCTCATTGTGGCATATCTCTTCATTCCAGAATAGGATAACCTCCTTAGGAAAATCTCTATTAAAATACTTGTATTTCTTCCTTAAAACAAAGAGGAAATTGATTCTAAATTAATTCTCCACTTATAAAAACAAAAACTCCTTGAAACTTTGAAGTGATAGTGTATTTCCTCTCCTGTGGTAATGAATATTACTCAAAGGTGTTGCAATAATAGATCCTGTCCCTCATACTCTCTCACCATGTGATATTCACAGGTCTCCTCCAACAGAAGGAGCCTATGAGTGTTACCCTTGAATAGGGGCAGGAATGTGATTACAGCCATAATGTATCTTTTGTCTATAAGGCTAGGCATAAAGCAAACTGAAATCCCCATCCTCAGTACAAAACATGTACATATATATCAAAATATTTTTTAAAAATTATAACCATTCCTAGCTTGGTACTTGACAAACCAAGAATCAGTTTGACACACAGAAGTAGATTGGAATGAGAGATTTCTTTGCTATCTTCCCTAATTACTGTTGTTATTGTTGGTCTGCAATGCTAGGGACAGAACCTAGGACCTTGCATATGCAAGACAAGCACTCTTTCACTGAACTAAACCTCTAGTGCCCTAATTCTTTTCAGTTAACTGCCACTTGAAAATTTAATTACTCAAATTAAAAGTCCTCCTTTAATTTTAATGAATGCAAAGAACAGAAAATCAACAGATTTTTCAAAAAATAATTTTAGTTATTACTACCACTCACTATCTGATTGCTAACAACATTGTTTCATATTACCCCTTTGTTTGGCACTGGGACATTCATACATCACATGAAAGTAGTACAATTAAGATTCTAGATTGGTAAGAGGTGTACCTTATACTGGAATGCATGAAAGACAGTTTGTGAAACCAGTGACAAAAGTGGACATGACACTCTGACAAGACCCCTTCCTCTGGCCACGAGTTCTCAGTTAGTTAGAGTACGTGTGGAGTCAGGATCTGGGAATGGATCTTCTTCACACTACCCTTCAAAATGTCCATCCACCAGGTTTAGGCCATTATCTTAACTCATTTTACCCTTAAAATAACATCAAAATGTTGCTGTTAATATTAATCCATTTTACAGATCGGAATGGTTACAGAAAGAGAGACTGCATTATTTTCCCAAGGTCACAAATTTGCCAACTGTCAGAGCCAGGATTCATATTCTGTATGCCTCTCATATATATTATAAGTACAAACATATAATATTTTGATTTAAAATCTTGGTTCATTCAAGGACTGGGTGAGTTACACAGTAGAAACTCACTTCTCACAGTTCTGGAGACCAAGAAGTCCAAGATCAGGTGTCAACAAGTTCTCATCCTGGTAAGAGCTCCCTTCCTGGCTGGCAGGTGGCTCCTTCCTGCTGTGTTCCTATGTGCCCCTTTCCTTCATGCATGCATGGGAAGAATACAGAGGCCTTTCTCTCTTCCTCTATGAGTCCAGCTGTCTTACTGGATTGCTACTCTCTCCCTATGTCCTTGTTTAACACTGATTACCTTCCTCAAACATCATCATATTTTGGGTGACAGTTTCAACATATGAATCTGGAAGAGACACAGCATTTATTCCATAGTAATACACATCAGAATTTAAAAAAAAAACTAGGAAGATTATAAAAAATATCAAATAAAAATGAAGGAGATTATTGCTAATCACAAACATTATTTGTCCTAAATGTCTAATACTGTATATTTAATTTAATACAGAGTTTTTAGAAACTTAGTACCAGAAGGAAGATTATGTCATTTAATTTCATCTTTGTTCTTTTAGACTTACACTTTGTTAATAATTTTTTGATCCTGCAGTTTTTCTGTTTGCTAAAATCGGTCTTTACCTCACTCCTAGCCACAAAAAAACTGTCAGGAAAGAAGACATGGTCATAAATAAGTATCTTTCTTTCCCAGTCCTTGCTCTGAAATCTCATCCTTACCATTTTACCAAAAGAAGAACTAAAAAAAAAGGGTACAATTTGTGTCCTTTATAAGCCATGAACCTTAATCTATATTACTGTATATCACTAAAACTTTTTTCTTCTCCTTTACTCGAGAAAAGAAGTGGATTAACTCCTGATCATTTCTTCCCCTCAAGTAGGGAAAGGCCATTTTACTTAGATTTGCATGAACTATACTGATCTCTCTCTCTCTCTCTCTCTCTCTCTCTCTCTCTCTCTCTCTCTCTCTCTCTCTCATCGGGGATTGAGCACAGGGGCTCTTAACCTGAGCCATATTCCCAGCCCTTTTTATATTTTATTTTGAGATGGGGTCTCACCAGGTTGCTGAGTCTGGCTTTGAACTTGAGATCCTTCTGCCTCAGCCACCTGAGCCTCTGGGATTATAGGTGTGCACTACCATGCCTCGTTAACTGCCTTTTCTCAGCACCTTCTAAGTTTTTATTTTATATACACATGTATGTATCTACAAATAAAATATTATTTATACTGTTTTCTTTATATACCTTTTTATTGTTACTGTTGTTTTATTTTTAATATTTTATTAGTGAATTTTAGTTATACAACATAGTGGGGTGCATTCTGACATTCATACATGTATGTAAGGTAATGTTCTCCATTTCAGTCCCCAGGACTTCCATTTTCACTCCTTTTCTACCTCCCTTTGCTTCTTTTCCTCAACTCTGCTAGTCTTCTTTCTATTTATTTATTTCTTTATTTGTAAGTAATGCATACACATAAAGCTGGAATTCCTTGTGATATATTCACATATGCACATAGCATAATTTCATCAATCTCATCCCACAGTTGCTCCCCTTTCCCATGCCTAGTTCCTCCTCTTTGATCACCTCCCTTTACTTTATTATTCTCCCTTCTGTTTTCACAAGATCCCCTTTTTTTAACTCCTTACTTCTTTCTATCTTCTGAATATGACAGAAAACATGTGGCATTTGAATTTCTGAGTCTGGCTTATTTCACGGTGAACATGAAAAATGTTCATATGTTCTCCAGTTCCATCAAATGATATAATTTAATTCTTCTTTATGGCTGAGTAATACTACATTGTGCATATATATCCCACATTTTCTTTATCCCTTCATCTGTGGACAGGTACCTGTGCTGGTTCCATAACTTGGCTATTGTGAATTGAGGTACTATAGACATTGATATATATATCCCTGTATCCCTATACTATGTTGATTTTAGATCTTCTGGGTAAATACCATGGACAGGAATATTTGGATTATATGGTGGATTCATTTCTAGTTTTCTGAGGACTCTCCATACTGCTTTTCAAAGTGGTTGCACTAATTTATAGTCCTACCAACCATGTAAAAGTATATCTCTCCCCCACATCCTCACCAACAGTCATTATTATTTATATTCTTTTTTTAAATTTTTTTTAGAGAGAAAGAGAATTTTTAATATTTATTTTTTAGTTTTTGGTGGACATAACATCTTTGTTTATATGTAGTGCTGAGGATCGAACCCGGGCTGCATGCATGCCAGGCGAGCACGCTACCCCTTGAGCCACATTCCTAGCCCATTATTTGTATTCTTGATGACTGATATTCTAACTGAAGTGAGATGAAATCTCCATGTAATTTTGATTTTCAGTTTCCCTGATTGCTAGAGATGTTGAACATTTTTCAAGCATTTGTTGGACATCTATATTTTTTCTTTTGAGAAATGTCTGTTTAGATTATTTGTCAATTCTTAATGTATACAAAATATACTTCAAAAAGAATTCATGTTGCAGTTTCAATAATCTTTATATTTGAATATTTTTAAGTAGCAAACTAAGCTTTCACTTAAAGCAATTTTTTCTGCAGCACACACATAAAAAAAGACAATATAAGTTTTGAAATTGGAATATTTAGGTTAATAGTTTCATTAATTTCAGATTCTGCATTTTGATTTATGAATGTAAAAGAGTAGAAAAAAAACCAGAATCTTACCTAAAACTTAGCTATAAATTGAAAGTATCCCACAGTGAAATATCATCTCTAGGAAATCATCTTATTGCAAATAATATTAACCTTACCAGCTTCAGGGAACTCCTTTTCCCAGTCTCAAAGACATTAGATTTAGCATGTATTTTGCATCTCAGTAGCAATTCAATAGGCTTATTGTAAAGTTTTTAGAAACAGCTCTGATTTCTATTCCCTGACCCCTGCTTATTGTGTATCAGCATCCACATGACCACAAAGAACATTTGGCCTTTGTTTGGAGGGGACTGGCTTATTTCATTTAGCAAGATAATCTCCAATTCCATCCACTTACGGACAAATGCCATAATTTCATTCTTCTGTATGGCTGATTAATATTTCATTGTGTGTGTGTGTGTGTGTGTGTGTGTGTGTGTGTGTGTGTGGTGTATCTCACATTTTCTCTCTCCATTCATCTGTTGAAGGACATTTAGGTTGGTTCTACACCTAAGCTATTGTTAATAAAGTTCATTGAATTAGACAAAGAAAAATGAAGGGAAGGGAGGGAAAAGGAATAGGAAAGAGTACAATGAATCAGACATAACTTTCCTATTTTCATATATGAATACGTGACCAGTGAAACCACATCATGTGCAACCACAAGAATGGAATCCTAAATAGAATAAGTTATACTCCATGTATATATAATATGTCAAAACATACTCTATTGCCATATATATCTAAAAAGAAAGAAATCAGCTGTCATTTAGAATTCTGGTCAAGAACCTCTTGTTTAATACAATGAAAAATAATTGTTCAGTAATGGTATGAGCCACATATGGGAAGTATTGCTTATATATAGTGCCTGATTTTGTCATGGTCATTTTGAGCCATTTGCATGGTTTGGCTTTCCACAGAGACAGAGGGTAGGAGAAGGAGGGAGAGAGTGGAGGAGGAGGGAGAAGGAGAATAAACAGGACAATTTGAGCACAAAGTGAGGAAATAATTTGTATATAAAGAGAGTCAGGCTCAGGCTCATATTCTGCTACTTTAAGATTTAGGATACTACTGCTCACAAGTGTGTTCAATAGGACAGTAAATCTCTTTACCTATAGACAATGTAGAGACATATATTATTTAATCTCTTCAGTCACAATTCCTCTTCTGCTGTTATAAATACTTAACACCTCTGAACCTGTATCTTTATTGATAAAATGTGGAGAATCATGCCTTACTATTGCAGTTTGGGTCTGAAATGTCCCCTTAAGGCTCAAGTGTCAAATCCTTGGTTGTCAGTTTGTGGCACTGTTGGAAGGTGGAGCAATATTGACTAGCAATGAAGACTAGTAGAAGGTCATTGAGGGCATGCTCTTGAAGGGGATATTGGGATCCCTGTTCTTCTTTCTTTAGCTTCCTGGCTGGCCATTATGATGTGAGCAGCTTTGCCGTATTACACACACCTTGCCATGATGTTCTGTCTCACTAGAGGCCAAAGCAAAGGAGCCATGCAACTATGGAGGAAAACCTCTGAAACCATGAGTCAAAATAATCTTTCCCCTTTGAAGTTTTTTGTCTTGGATATTTATTCACATCCATGGAAAGCTGACTAGTCCACTGACTTCATGCTGTTGACGAACTTAAATTAAATGTGTAAAATACCCACTCCAGTGTGAAGCACTCAGCAAATGACATAATAACTTAGTAATAACCACCATTAACCAGGAACAAGTAACTGGTTATTACTAGGACCAGACAGAAATCCACAGGCCAAGTTCCTCATAGTGTAAGGCACAAAGTTGGAGTTCAGTACATGTATACATAAAGGTGTTATTATTCTAGAGACAGAACATTCTTCTGAGGTTATTTCAGTTGGGTACCCAGAGTCCACCAAATGTGAACCATGCATTAATAATAATTGTTCTTTTATGAAAGGAAAACCAAATCTGAACTGTCCCCCTTGTAAATTCTCCTCTTTGTGCAATCCCATTTCTTGTTCATGTATAAATCACTAAAACCAGAGTCAAATCTCTCACTTTAAAAATGGGGGCTGATGACATAGACTAGGGCAAGGTTTACAAGTAGTTCAGTATGTCAAAGGCAGGAAATAATGGCAGTGTGCAGAGTTGTGACAGACTGAAATTTACCAGAGCTGAAAGCAAAAGACCTTTGGTCTGGAGTTCAGGAGAGGTATCAATAATGTTAATAGTTCCAGTCTTTAGCACTAAAACCCCAGCATTAAAAATTACATTTGAGATTGGTGATAGTCTTTCTTGTTGTTGAATTCTGGGTGATGCTTTTGCTGTATTTGAGTGATCCACCAAATTGTAAAACCTCAAGAAAGGGCAAGTTGATATGAGCACAAGGTGGTGAAGGACTATAGGAATCCCATTCCATGTCAGCACACATGAGGAATCAGCTTCCAAAAGTTTTCCTGGGTCCCTGGGATGACCAGCTATTGCTGTTGTTCATTGGCCAAACTCATGAGGTTATGGGGAAAGAAATATAAACACACTAAGTAGAAATATGGGTAAGGATATTGCAGGATGCTATACTGATATCTTTTCAATGGAATGAATTGGCCAAAATAATCAGTTTTTTTTGTTTGTTTGTTTGTTTTGAGAACTGATTGTACAAACAACTCTGAGTATTGGGAGATAATTCTCCATGGGTCCCTCTCATGTCTGTACATCTTATATGAAGTTAACACACTGAAGAAATTGTAATTGTTGAGGAGTTTAAACAAATTACGTGTTTAGAAGCATGATTCTAAAGACCTGATGTTAAGTATTTGAGGAAGATAATGAAAAAAGTGCCTATTTAAAGATAAAACATTTTCTATGACTAGTAATTCTTCTCAAAACATATAATATGAAAAATCAAAAATAGAGTGGCTTATTTAAAGAATAAAAGAAAAGTAATGAAGTTCTTGGCAGTTAATAATATGTTTGAAATGACAGTGAAAGTTTCATCAGATAAATGGCAGAGTTCATATAAAAATAAGAATACTTAGTAATAGCTGGAAAGAAGCCAACAAATGACCATGAATAATGCTATATGAAATGAGATTGCATTCAGAATTTCTTCAAGTTAGTTGTAAAATGAGTGGAGGAGAAGGTTCTCCTGGTGGAACATAATAACAACTCTGCTGTTTGGAATAAAAAGCTTATTAACATAAGGACAGAACTTATGGTACTATGGAGATGATGTGATTGCTTAGAATGTTTTTGCTTGCTTGTTTGTTCTGGTTTACGTGAACCTAACCCATCTCCTCTTTATTTCCATTCCTTAGAGTCTTATTATTATTCAGTTTAGTTGAAGTGTTTGCTTGAAGTTAGTATTGATCAGACAAAAGTAACCACATCCTGACAGTTTTCAGGTACCTGTACATCATGTCTCACTAAATACAGTCAAATTTCAAGCCCCAACAGGGACTACTTGGCAACATTCTCAGAAGGCCTTCCTCTGATGTTAAAAAATAAACATTAAACAATATATTGTGAATTAAAAAAAGAAGTGCATGCGGATCATCATAAGTTTAACTCTTGTCTCAAGAAAAAAAATCTAAAAATTAAATGTATATATTGATTTACAGGTCCCACTAGGAAGAAGTGTGTGTGTGTGTGTTTGTGTGTGTGTGTGTGTGTTTGTGTGTGTGGTGTGTGTATTTAAATCAAAAGCTAATAGGTCAAACATTCCTCCCAGAAAATAAAATTGTATGTATGTATCTTGGTCAATAAGAATATCTTCCCATTATGCTAAAGCCACTAATCAATTGACATTACACTCATGAGTTAATGTTTTTAAGTAAGCAGATATTAGTGTTGGTTTCTTTTTCATTTTGACTCATTACTTTTTTCCAGTCAGTCATGACACAGTAGTAGGTTTTTCTCAATAATCATTAATCTATACATCCCATAAGCATTCATTGAATGAGAGGCAGTATATTATAGTGTAATATCCACTCGATATATAGAGTGGATATTACAGTGATTAAAATTAATCTACCTGGATTTGTACTTTACCTTTTTTACTCATTAGAACTGTGCAGTGTTTCAGTGCCTTGGTTTTCTCAAATGTACTTTAAGTATAACCGTGGTATCTGTGTCATAGTGGGATTTCTATATTTGCTGCACTTGTATTGAAGAATTCATTTTTCTTAGTCTACAAAGTGACTGCTGGAGATATGGAGTAAGGAATATGAATCAGAATTAGATAAATGCAAGGATATAAAGACTATAAATTGGGGGAATATCCTTGGAATCAAAAGTATGCATGGCAGATAAGAAATGACATTCTAGGAGAATAGCAACAAGAGCAACACATATAAAATTGTGCTTCTGTGAAAAAGAAGAGCACATTTTGGAAATTTCTAATATATTTCTATGGCCAGAATAAAGGTGATTCTAAGGACAGGTAAACCTAAGGGAGATGGGTAGAGATTATATCTCATCAGGCATGTGTTATATACAGTAATACATTTGCTACAACAAGTTAGATCATAATATTTTTATTTTAATAACATAGTTTACTGTTTTACTAATCACCATAACTGATCTAGGAGTCATTATAAATAATTTTAAAGTATTATTTTTCTCCTTTAATGAAGATGGTAAATAATGGGAAGAATCTGTGATTCAACTTGACTGTTTTGGCCTCAGAGAAAACGAGAAATAAGGGTCTCACAGTGATTATTACTTTTGCCATTGTCATGAAATGTCTTGAAGGGATCTGAAGAATTTGGAACACCAGGGAAACATGACTCATCAGTGATACAAATTTCTTTTCCTCTTTTGGGAGCTAAATCCTCTTTTTCTTTTTGACATGGCTTATTTATTGGATGTGATTCTAATCCTGTGTCAGTCCCTATCAATCCAGGTTGGCCAATGGAGTACCATTTCCTATGGAATTAGTGATTATTCCAGGAGCAGATCTGTGACACAAGCAGAGCCCATTAGTTCTTTTCTGACCATTAATATGAACCTGAATGAAAAGAGCTTTCCTTCTGAGACTGAGTGCTCTGAAGATTATAGAACGTTGGCACACCCAGAATCAACAGTGGCATCTTTTCACTGCTTTTAGGGGGGTCTTCTTGATGCCAATAAAGAGGAAAACAGACATGAGATGGAAATAAATAAATAAAAAGATGGTCCCAGGTAAAACAAGTCCTGAAACAGCATAAACTTTTAGTATTATGGATTATACCT